AGGCTCCTGGAATAAGCTATTGGCCCTGAATAAGTAGTAACATCTGCTGTGGAAAAGCTCGACTCTTCCTCATCACATTGAACTTGGGAAATGAATGAAATGCTAAAAGATTTCCCAAGCTCATGCTGCTCATGATCATGATCATGATCATGAACATTTTGTGCGTCAAGGACTTGATCATTTTCATTTTTAATACTTCTGTCTTCGCTGCTAATGAATTGAACACGGCCATTGGGAGACTGGTCCTCGTATCTCATATCCTTGTGGTTAAAGGATTGTGCACTGGGATTTTCAATATTCTCTTTTCTGCTTATGCACTGAACTCCTTTATTTGGTTCTGTTTCCCCTAATATTGCAGAAGGATTATCTGAAATTGAATTTCCAGAAGGAATCTGCCCAGCAAACAGTTACAACAGTTAGTTTTTCTTTGTCTAAATAATTTCATAGCCACAAGCATCTATCTATAAAAGACAAGGGAACAATTATACTATTATTATCAGTTGGCTATAGTAAGTTCCCAAGATTTTTCCAATTGTGGGAACATTTGATATGCACAGTTGATTCCATGTAGATTTTTGGACACTAACCTGACCAGGCAGTGTTGGAACGTCGTGGAGAAATGACCTGAGGCAACTCCATGCTCCAAACTCTTGCACGGGAGGTGCTCTATTTTTCAAACATCCTTCTTCTGAAACATCAGTTTCGACCTTGCCAGTTGCACCGCAGTTTGCTTCACCTATCTGTGTTAAATCACTGGGGCGACATTCCTTTGATGTGTCCTTGCCAAAAGAAATTTCTGAGGCAGATTTATAGCTTTCCATCATCATTTTCTCCTCTGTATACCTAATTTCATCAATAAATATGTCCTTAACATGACAGTTCATTTCTTTGTAGCATACTATCAGCTCAGGCAGTTCATATTCCGAAACATGATCATCAGCATATAAATTTGTATCTGTCTTGTACATTTCTGAAGCATTGATACATGGAATATCGGAATCTCTGTATTCATTTTCATTACGATAAGTTTCATCTAAAGCCGATAGAACTCCATCCCTCTCACAATCACTTAGATGAAACAAGAATCCATTCAGATTTTCCTTCACCAGAGTATCTATAATTCCATATTTGCTGTCATTGGCAAAATCTTCCAAAATTTTTGAACTGTTACAAAGTTCATCCATGGCTTTTGTCCCAAATACTATACGATCTAAGTTCGTTTTGAAATCCAGGGGAACTGCATGCCTCCCCAAACTATTTGAAAGACATAATTTTCCGTTCTGATTTCCCTTCATGGTCGTCGTCGATTCAGCTCTGTCAAAGACACGCTCATTGCATTAAAATGGTCTAAAATCATGCTTAGAGACCCAAAAGAAAAGAGAAAACAGAGGTTTTTGTGGTGACAATTGTTCAGACATACTAAATATACTAGAAGTTAAACCTTACTCCTGAGAAACTCGGAATTGGCTAATATAGCCACTCAATTTGGTTTACATATATTTAAAGGTACAGTGAAATGTACAACTTATATTTTCTTTATTTTAATGTTCAATTGGTATTAACTCCATTTGCTGATGTATATCCTTATCAATCTAAACATCCTTATTTCTCTGATATACTTTTACAACCAGTACTAATTATGATGAAAGTACAGTTTATCCAATAATTATACTGAAGAACTTACCTTCAAACAATCGATCATAAGCATTTATTTGGGACAACATAATTGTCAATTGTAACTCCATTTCCAAATGTACACAGTATTAAGGAAGAAAAAAATTTAAGATAAAATCTAGCCCCCATTATTTCAAAATATAATGGATGGAATAATATTTTTTTTGGAGAACGGATGGTTGAAAAATAAGGAAAATTTTTCGATTTACGTGTAATATTATTTTATGGAAGATTGTGTGATTAAAAATAGAAGAGAGAAAAATGAAATTTAATTTAATGGGGTCAAATGGGGACCTAAGATCTATGCAGTTTGCGTACTAAACACGCCCTGCATTAACCTTACTCAGGTATCTCCATAATCTCAGTAACAAAATGAATTTACGGATAGGGTTAAAATTCAACAGATTTCATACAAATTAACTACTATACAGCACAAAAATACAGAAACTGGACTTCAGTCCCAGAAAATTATATTTCAAAAGTAGAGAATTAGGCTTGTAGGAAAATTTTCCAACGAATGGATAAAGATCTATCTGAAACTATATGTAGCACACAACCGTCTATCAGTATATGCTGTGTGTATATTGGTGGATCAGTACCGGAAGAGGGATGTCATAAATATGTAAGAAAAATAATTTTCGTCAGTGTTGGCATATATGTTCGATATCTTTTCCATGTTCATTATTGGACAGCCTTTCGAAATAAAAGAAAGTTGTAGTAAATCAAAAAAATTAAAGAAATGAAAAAGGCTTCGATATTGAATCTTGAGTTCTTGCATTCCTTGGTGTTAGTTCATAGATATGGACCTCACACCTCCACTTGAGCTTCAAAATATTAATTGAAAGCAAAGGGAAAAAGAAGGTGGACCTTAAATTAATCACCTCCTCTTGGTTTGTTGAGACATCTCAATAGATATGACTCATCCTTGCTTCACAACAGCTATCAAATTCATTTCAAATTCAACAGCGACTGATAATTGTAATTCTTACACTTATCTAGACAATTATAGGGAGTTTTTATATTAGTATATCGAGTAATTTTGTATTGATTATTATTGATTTGGGTTCACTTTCCTTTTTCGTATATATATTTTTTAATTCCTGGACATGAGCTACATAGATGATAGTGGAAGAAAACGAGAAGTTGGAGTTTTGAGCTTTCGTGAATTTGACCATACGAGACGGAAAATGCATGTTTGGGGTGCATTGAAATATTCAAGTAATAAATAAAGAAGAAAGTTCAAAATTGGAAGTAAGAGGAAAAATTTCCTATGTAATTCCCCTTTATTTATTTTTATTTTTTCCAATAACGGAGGAATCCGTAGCTGCTATCATTCAGGTGCGTACTGGGTAAACCCTCGAACTGCCGCAATAACCTGCAAATCACGCCAATCAAGTAAATCGTATTAGGTAAGTCCGGTGCGATATGGTCGACCGAGAAAGTGTTGGTAGGGAAATCAAACTCGTGATAAAAAATCTCCGTGCTTACCTACTCTACCAACTCGATCATCCCATGAGGGGTATGTAATTCCCTTTTGTTTCAAAGGGAGTTTTTGGAACTTTAAAGTTATGAAACTCTAGGTCAACTACACAAGACTAAAAATACTTTATCTGTCCCATTTATACATGTCAACTTTTCTCATTTTTTTGTTGAGAATGTTTTTGTTTTGTTTGTTTTCTAATATACCCTTATTTAACTTTCCTAGTTATAACCAATTTTCCCGACTTAGACCCTGTTTGATTCCCATTTCTGAAAAAATGAGAATAAAAAATATAGTCGTTACGGGACTCACACAAAAGATAGAAAGTCAAATATGGTAGCTTGATGTGATGGATGACGATCATATTTTTCATTTTTATGGTAAAAGAATGGTAATCAAATGGGGTTTTAATCTTAAAATGGTATAAATGTAAATAAGGATGAACTCGGAAAGTTTTTGGCCAAAATTGCTTTTGCAATAACATTAAATAAGATTTCTTAATCCGTGTGAAAAAAACAAAATCAATATATATAATTGGGACCGAGGGAGTATTATTTTTCTTTCACAGCTAAAGGGAGCTTATTTTTGGAGAGATTTGGAGAGGCTAAAAACAGAAGGAAAATAACAAGAGCGAAATTTAAAAAAAAAACTACGGGAAATTGAGGGAGAATAAACTCAAAGCAAGATTTTGCTCGGTAGATTCTACCAAGGTACAAGTTCCAAGTGCTATCTATAATTATACGTTTAATTTCTTCAATTTTGAATCCATCTTTTTATCTCTTATAGTTCTTGTCACTTTTATAATATGAGCTATATTATCTCCATAAATTACATAGCATACTCAAACGGAGGGAATTTCTTATATGCTAATGTGGTATCGATTATTCAATTGATTGAGTCTATTTGATTAAACAATTACATATTGGGCTTGAATTTTGGTCCATTTCACTAAACTCACTTGGCCCATTCCATTTTTCTATATAAGTGTGAATTTACTTCACACTCAAGGTATGGAACCCTAACCCTAGCCAAACCTCTTATTCCATCTCTTACATTCATATTTCTTTCGTACGGTCATTTACCGTCGGAGTGTATGTGGTTGTCGAACTCTTTTTCCGATTGGTAGCTTTTACCTCCTAACAGATTGTTCGAGTGTATAGGTGACATCTACGTGGAGGGGAGATGGTCGGAATTCGGTTGGCATATTTTTTAAGGTCAACGGATTGGCGCCGTCCTTGAAAAATTGTCCGTTAACCGTGTTATTACCATCAAAAAGCCATCCAGAAAAGATAATTTTAAGGTTAGTTACTTTGACAAAAATATTGGAGAGGGAAAGGAGAAACATCATTGAAAAAGTTCACAGGAAAAAAGTCTTTTGAGGCAGTGTAAACATTTTGAGATGGACTTTCTAGAATCAAACCAAGGAAATTAGCCCTGCTGAGAAGACTTGCTTCATATAAATAAATAGAAGCCTCAAGTCAAGCACATATATAACTATCAAAAAGAAAAGAGTAGTTGTGCTTGGATCTCCTCTTGTTGCCGTAGAAGCCACCATTAGGCAATTGCTATGAGGGCTTCTTTGATTTCTGATAACTCTGGCGAATAGCTGTTGAGGCACTAGAAGTAACAACTACCATCACGATATGATAAGCTCCTGGGTTCAAAATTTGTGCTTATTATATTATTAAGCTTGTTATTAGTTAATTAAATAATTTGTTTCAATTATTCGTTTCAATCGTAATATGCTAGTTAGTCAGAATTTCATATGGGTAGTTTTATGCGTAGTTCTGACTGAGACAACTTAATAGATTTGTTTTCTACAAGATATAATCTATTGCGAAATTAAATAAAGATAAACACCAGGTATAACGTGATAAACCCATAATGAAAACATCTACGAGCCCCCATATCACGGGTAAAATAATTTTTTAGGAAAAGCACAATAGTTTCAGTTTGGCAATTTCACAAAAATTCACTAAAACAACAAAAGTGAATAAAGAACAACTCCTTCGTTCTCTTATTCCTTTTGACTTGTTGAAAAAATGGAATCAAACCATCCGATCTTGGTTTTATTCTCATTTCACTATTATATTCTGCTGTAACAAATACTTGGATTAAGATTTGCCAATTTTAATTCACGCCTAGTACTTTGTCGTTGAGTATGACTATATCATTCTCGCTCATTTGAGTTCTCTTCAATTACAATTGAAGAACACAATTTTTGCTTCGAGATATTTCAATGGAATATAAATCGATTAGAATTAACTGGAGATGGCCAAAGGACTTCAGAACTTGATGCTACAAACTATCTGGACAAATTAAGACAGATTTTTCTTAAAGCATTCGAACATTCCCTAGTGATTTTCTCTGTTTATGTAGAGACTCCTCCAAGGCACGAATGTCTCGTACCTAAAATATAGAAATTCTGCACGATAAAGAGTATGTAGAATGTGTTTATATGGTCAATAATTAAATTAAAGAAAGTTTTGATTAATTAAAACAATTTTTCCTTCTTTTAATTAATTAACCAATCAAACCAGTCCAATAAGATAAAAATATATTTTGGTGTATATATGTGTGTGTGTGTGTGTGTTTAATATCGTCAATGTTTAAATTAAGAAAAGTTTTGATTTGTTAAAAAATATTTCATTATGATGATTTGACTAATCAAACATGTCCAAGATGATAAGTATATGTTCATGTATACGTTGTTATTAGATAGGTAAAGTTTGCACCTCGTTTACTTGTTTGGACTGAAACCAGTTGTACAAATTTTTTGCACTTGTTTTCACATTTAAAAATCATTATAATTTAAGTAAGCCAATAAATAAACATTAAGTAAAAATATAAAATATATTTTACTTACAATCTCATCCTTTGGCTTAGCTTAATTTCAAAAATATCTTTTGGATTTTTAAAAATTCACTTTTGTGAGTGTATGTAGAGTGTTTGCAAAATAAAGGACATGAACTGCTCTTCCCCAGTTAGTTCTCTAAAATAACATACTATTCCTCCAAACTTCATGAAACCAACCAATTATTACATAGTATATAGGCCTGGCAAAAATGAAATAGATATGCAGCAACAGAACTATCAATGTGAAGTAATATACCTGCCAACTAAGAAGTTGTAAAACTTAACCCAAATGAAACGTCCTACATACTGCAATTAGTGTTCATGTTCCATTATCACCACCCAACAAAAGCAAAAACTACTGCTCCCCTTTTTGAAATTAATAGGCCCACTATATAAAGTGAAACAAATAGAGAAATAGTGAGATCAGAGAGCTAGAGTTAAAATG